CCTCACACCAGCCCAGGGCTCCTGACACCTTTGCTGGGGTCCTCACACCAGCCTAGAGCCCCTCACACCAGCCCAGGGCCCCTCACATCTTTGCTGGGGTCTTCACACCAGCCCAGAGCTCCTCACACCAGCCCGGGGCCCCTCACTCCAGCTTGGAGCCCATCACACCAGCCCAGGACCCCTCACATCTTTGCTAGGGCCCCTCACACCAGCTACACATGGGTCTTGGTTCTTTGCAAGCCCACAGGGCTCAAGATCCAGGAAGGCATGCTAGGGCCAGGGGAAAGAGCCAGTAGTGCCTCTGATCAGGCAGGCAGGGTGAGAATGGCACCAGGGCACCTGCACCACCTCAGAAGAGGCTGCTTTCTCCTGGTCAGTGGTCACTGAATCGAATTCCCAAAGTCCCAGGAAAGGATTGTCTCCCAGCCTCCCCAGTGTCCAGGCCAGGACTCTGTAGTAGCTGGTGTCAGTCGCTGGGTGATGGTTACAAGAATATTCATCAAATACACCACCATAGGCTGAACTCTGTGGGGTTCGGACCCCACCCATCCACCCAAAGTCAACCTCACTGGCTGGGGTCTTAGGATACTGGGATCTACAGTTGAGCAGTGCCTTAATGGAGACCTGGTCCAGCCCCCACCTTCAGCATGTAGGAAACTGAAAAGATGTGAAAGGGCGAGGCAGCCCATCACCTCAAGGAACTCCCCATGGTCCTGTCTTTTGGAGATTTCTCAGAGCCTTTACTGAACCTGTCTCCGTTTTCATTCTGTGGCTTACCCCGGGGTGGCAGGAAGTGGGGCACAGGAGGCAGGAACCTCGAGTCTGTTCACTCTTCACCACATAAGTAAGTAGTACTTCCTTTTGTCAGTCCTGAATGTCCCTGTGGTTCTGGGGGGCCTCTTTGGAGCCTCAGATGAGGATCCCCTGAAGCCGGAAAGGAGGCCCCCCCACTTGGTCTCCATCATGATTTTAATATTTCCACTTTTCCTGCCTCAGTCACCTTCCCAGGCTGAGAAGCTCTCATCACTTTGCTGCCCAGAGGATCGACTGCCCAGGACTGGAGGCTGAGAGCCAGGGACCAGTCACCCAGGGCACAGCTGCTGCCTCTGCCCAGCTCCAGGTCACAAAGAGGTGAGTGATGGTCCTGAGAGCCAGGAGGGAAGGGGGAGATCTGCTGAGAGCCACATTCTCACCTTTCCTGGGGGTAAGCTGCCCCCTTCCTATCTGCTGTCCCCCTCCTGCATTCCAGTGCCCCAGACTCATGCAATGTTCCAAGGTGACTGACCTCCTCACTGGGAGCATCACCTCATCTGGGGAGACCCAGCTGACCCAAGGGGGCTGCTAATGCCTGAAGCCCAGTGAGGCTCGGCAGCTCTGGGCTGCCACCCTGGGCTCTGCTCTCTTCCCTCTGCCTTGCTCTGCCAGCCCCCCACCAAAGATTCACTTCACCTGATGACCAGGGAGTGACTCAGGCAGCAGGCAGGGCTGTAACACTAGCTTAGCCCCAGCCCTGGTCCAGGTCCTGAGGAAGCTGTGGGCAGGCGACCCACAGAAAAGGAGAGCTTCCACTCTCTTGCTTTCTTTGCCACAGGACCATCCAGTGGCTATGGAGGTCTTACCTTTCTGAAGGTCCGCCGTCCCTACTGAGGACAGAGCCAGCCAGACTACCAAGAGACTGGCTAGGCTCAACCCCATGTTGGCTCAGCTGGGTGGGCTGACTGGAGAATGACTTTGCGGAGGGGCGCTGGCTTTATATGCAGGCTGCTGGTCGGCCAGGTGTCACCCTGGGAGGGAGGGGAAGGGGAAGAGGAGGGGTCAGGAATGGGTGTAACATTTGCCAGATTAATGAGCAAACAGCGGTGGGACTCGTGGGCTTGGGTGCCAGTCGGCTCTTGTGGGCAGTGGTGGGGAAATATTGGTTCAGTTATCAGGTAATCATCTTTTATGGTTCTCAGTAAACCAAGTAATGCTGCAGGATGCCCCAGGCCCAACTGCTCCAATTCCAGCACACACCCAAGGAGAACCTGCCCCTCTCCTCCCAGCAACTAGCGGGCAAGCAGCTGGTGGCACAAGGACCTTGGCAGGGCCCCTGAAGGAAGTCAGACACCTCAGCTCGGTCTGAACAGAAGCATCACCCTTTGTCCCTCCCCAGTGCCACCCGAACCGAAGGCCTGAGTGGCCCCTTCCACGCGCTGCCACTGAACAGCTCCTGGGTACGTTCTGCTGATCGAGATCCCAAGGGGCGGACTCTGGCCCAGCCTTTCCTGAATCAAAGGCCCAAACTGTAATGTACCCAGGCCCACCCTGGCCCCAGACTCCGCTGCCTCCTCTTCTCTCTAGGGAGGATTTTGATGACTGCCTCTCCCCGATGCCTGTCACCAATCTGACTGACAATTCTCCCATGATAAGGAGAGGTCTCAGGCTTTCTCTAAGCCTGCAGCTCTGAGTCTGCCTGGACAGTGTGGCTGAAGGGGAAGTGGGCAGGGCCCTCCCACCGCTGCCCAGACCCACAGGTTTCTCTGTTGGCATGCAGCGGGCCTTCGATCCTCTCTGGCTGCCTAATCCCCTCCAGAATTACATGTAATCAAAACTTTTCAGAAATGGGCAAGGAACCCAGCTTAGAGACACAGCTACCCACTAGGGTACAGAATTCACATGCAGCTCAAGGACTTTTCTTCCAGGGAAAATGTGGCCCTGGGTCCTCAATCCTGGCTTCCAAGCTGGCTACTCTGTCCACAGTGTGAGCCTCTGCCCAGGCTTCCCCCAAGCTGCCCCTCAGCCCTGCAGCCAAGGAACCTCTTGGGGTGAGTGGCACATTAGGAGACTTGCAAAGAACTGGGGGAAATGGCCTCCCCCAACCAGGACCCATCCCTAACTGTCCACAGGCTGTGGCCCCCTATCCTGGGGCCTGAGCCTCACTGGCCCCGCCCTGTGTTCAGACCCTCTGGCAGCCCTCTCCCTGGGACATGCCTCTTTGCCTTTGGGTATAAATTCAGGGACAGAGACTGATCCTGTGGTTTCATTGGCATTCCCAGGGAACTCAGGGTGAGAAAAACCCGTCGACCAAAGTAGTCTGGTTCCTTCCCTCGGATCTGTAGTCTTAGAGAACTGCCCAGAGCCATGAGGAGGGACGTGACCTCGTCCAGGGTCACACAAACAATCAGCATCAGGGAGAGACTCCGGGTCTTCCTGATTTGAGAGCAAGTCTCCATCCACTTTACCACACTGTCTCTCTAAATTCACAGATTATAGAGCGATCTAGTCTGCCTCCAGCCTCCCCATTTTACAGTTGAGGAAACTGAGGCCACAGAAGCGAGGCGACTTGCTCAGGGTCCCAAGTCCAGGGCTCCCAGCCAGCCCAGTCTTCACTGGAGCCTTCATAGGCCAGAGAATGGAATCATCCCGGACTGACCAGAAGTCAAAAGCACAGGTTCAAGTGCTGGATTTGCTGGCGAACAGCCACAAGACTCTGGACAAGGGAGCTCCCCTTTCTGGGCCTCAGTTTCCTGTCTGTCCCCCAGGACTGTCCTGTTGTTGGGAGGATTCAATAGCAACAAGACCAGAGCCCACTCCCTCGGCTGAAATCGCCGACGCCTCAAGCCAGACACAATCTCTGCTGTGCTCCCTGGGCCCCTCATCCTCCCCTCTCTTGGCTTTCAGTGTCGTCCTCCTTCATCGTGCCTGCCCCAGACCTCACCCGGAGGCAGGTGGCTGAGGAGGCCGAGTGGCGTGTCTTCGGAGTCAAGGAGGCCTCTGACAAAGTCAGGGCTGATACCCTCAGAAGCAGGAGGATCCTCTAAGAAGCCCACAGCCAGCCTGCTGGTCAGCCCAAGGCTTCTGGCCTCCATGCTCAACTTTCTTGGGCATTGGGATTCAGCATCTCTTCTAGAGAAATGAGAAGAAGGGTCCTGGGCCTTTCTGATGTCCCTGCACCGTCAGATGACATAGTTCGCAAGCTGCTATGTCCGCTAAGAGTCCATCTAAAAGCCCCGCTTGGGGACACTTGTGACCAGGAAAGGAGGCTGGCTCCCCGAAGATCCTACTCCATGCTGCATGGGTCCCCTCCTTAGAGAAAGGAAGGCAGGAGTTCCGGGGGGCAGCTTAGAGGAAGGCAGTACTCCAGTAAGAGCCACAAAGCATGAGAAGCCCTAGAAGGGTGCCCATCTGCGCTTTTGGAGAAACTGTCCACTCTAAGGAGGTCACCAAGTCTCAGAGGATGAGTGAGATCGAGAGACAGAGCTTCTTAGGACACCACCTTCTCCCCAGGGGGAATGTCTATCTGGAAAACACCAGGGAGGCCAGCAAAGGTTTCATTTGCCAAGAGGAACCCCAGTAGCCCAGAGGAGACGGGAGGAAGGACGCAGCATTTGTTTTAAGAGGTCCTGGATTCAGCTCCCACTTTTGCTTCTTACTCCCTGTGAGACCTTGGTCAGGTCATTCCTCTTGGGTGATGCACTGGCCTTTGTGGGCACAATACTCAACTCTCTCCATGATAAGACTGAGAAGCCAATGTAGGTCCAGCTTTTCGGGCTGATAAGCAGGGCAGAGGAGTCACTGAAAGAGGACGTTCCCAGGCAGGATCAGACCAAGGATTCAGGGACCCAGGACAAGGACAAAGAGGCTCCTGCACCTGGTGACCCTTCGCCTATGGAAAATCCCAGCCCCTCGGGGGCCCTGGGAAAGCCTGAGGAGGTGGCGAACTCAGGTTTCCCTGGGGCCTCTGAAGGGCTGAGAGGGAGAAAGGATACGATAGGCCAGGAGCCCTGCTCATGTTACTGCCTGGAATGCAGATCCCAATTTCCTCCTCAGCCCTGAAAGTGTTAGCCTTTGTGAAGGTGCTGCCCTTACCACCCGAGTGAGCTCAGAATGATGGTGCTTTGGAAGAGGACGGCTGCATCAAGGGACCACATGTGTGGATCTGGAAGGGACCCTAGAGACTGCCTAATCCAAACGTCTTTTATAGAGGGGTAACTGTGCTACAGAGAAGGAAGGAAGGAAGGGAGGAGGGAAGGGAGGGAAGAAGGAGGGAAGGGAGGGAGGGAGGAAGGAAGGAAGGGAGGAAAGAAGGAAGGAAGGGAGGGAAGAAGGAGGGAAGGAAGGAAGGGAGGGAAGGGAGGGAGGAAGGAAGGAAAGAAGGGAGGAAGGAAGGAAGGAAGGAAGGAAGGAAGGAAGGAAGGAAGGAA